TCAATGTCCCATAAATTCTGCTTACAATGCTTCCATAGGTGATACTCCACATTATGCATTGTATGGTGTAAACCCAATTACAACCCTGATGATTTCGTAGCAACTCATACAAGCATGGCTCAGAGTGTTTTTAGAAGAATCCGTGAAACACTTCATAAATCAACAGCAGAATTTACTAGAGTAACTAATAGCCGTGCTAAGCCATCAAAAGTCAAAGTAGGTTCGAGAGTAATGCTGACAAATTTCAACAAAACATCCACAATGCCTAAGCTCGATCAAAAGTTTGTCGAACCTTATCGAGTTGTAGAACATATCTCTGGTAATAAGTATAAGGTTAGAGAAATTAGTACTGGTAAGTACAAAGAATCGCATTTAGATCATATGAGATTAGTATGCGATGTTTATGATATTGCTACCCAGACTAATGTGACAGATGCTGAAAATCCTCTTGACTCTGCACCCTCTACCTCAAATACGCAGTCAGATAATCAACCTGAATGTCGTTACTCTTCGCGTACTCAACAAGTAATGAGAAACCCACAAGTATCTTTTGTAGATACTCGTTCAGATCTCCCTCAGTCAAGGCATGTGTTAGCCATTGCAGAGGAATTCGATCCTCCCAGAGATGATAACCATTCTGCATATGTAAACCTCACCCTCGCAGAATTGGGTTTAAATGTACATAGTCTGTATAACTAGATGTCCGAGATGAAGTAAATTGTCAACTGTTTTTGTTATTTACTGATTAGTTTTTCAGAATTTTTTTTTATTTTTTTTCGCATTCACGTTCCCTCCATATTCTGGGAATTTGACAGTAATAGTCTGAGTGCACCAGATACCTTTGCTGTTAATTTCACCTTGTATATATATATTTATTCTTCCTCAGAGTCCGTAGAGTGCATGAATACAGATCATTCGATCAATTCCATCCATATTGTACAATGATTTGTTCTTATAGTTTGTAATGCATTACGTTAAAAATCATTACGTTAAAAGTGATTACGTTACACCCATTACGCAAAACTCATTTTGTTAACATCCAGTATGATACCATCCATTAGTTCTAAGTTATATATGAATTTGTTATTGTATAGAATCAGCCCAGAACCACCTGCCTGTTCAGCCTATAGATAGTAGTGTATGTCGAGACGACATACGTAACATGACCGAGCTGTCAGCATAGTTGATGATCCCTGTGTTGTATAGCATATCAGTATTATCCATGTGCTTTAGATAGGAGATCCCTAGGCCTGTGACTGTTTGTGTGACGTCACGGGATGCGCATGTGTACGTTCGTACCTCTGCCTCCTCCTCAGTCGGCGTTTGACACAGGCTAGGACAAGGCAAGGCTGGGCTCCATCTCCCATCATCACAGTCTGACAATATATCGTTACCATCCAACAAGTGTGTCTACCTTCAACCCTCGATATCTCCATTTAAGAACCCATATAAGGTGGTTGCTCGCTACAAGCATACTAGTACCTTCCTGGGTGATTGCTACCTACCAACATACTAGTACCTCCCTAGGTAGTTGCTGTCTACCACCCTATTAGTACCTCACTGGGTGGTTGCTCTGTAATGACCTACTACTACCTCCCTGGGTAGCTGCTGTCTACCAACCTACTAGTAGTTCCCTGGGTAGTTGCTGTCTACTGGCATACTAGTACCTGCAAGGGTGTTTGGTGTCTTCATGCCTACTAGTACCTCTCTGGGTCGTTGCTCTCTACCAAGCTACTAGTACCTCCCTGGATAGTTGCTGTGTACCAATCTACTAGTACCTCAGTGGGTGTTTGCTGTCTACCAACCTACTAGTACCTCCCTGGTTGGTTGCTGTCTTAAAACCTACTAGTACCTTTCAGGGTGGATGCTGTCTACCAACCTACTAGTACCTCCCTGGGTAGTTGCTGTCTACCAAAGCACTTGTACCTCCCTGCGTGGTTGATGTGTACTAACATACTAGTACCTCCTTGGGTGGTTGTTGCCTACCAACCTCCTAGTACCTCTCTGGGTGGTTGCTGTCTTTCAACCTACATGTACCTCCTTGGGTGGTTGCTCTCTAACAGATTACTAGTATTTCCCTGGGAAGTTGCTGTCTTCCAACCTACTAGTACCTATCAGGGTGGGTTCTGTCTGCCAACCTACTAGTACCTCCCAGGGAAGCTGCTGTCTAAACGATTACTAATATCTCCCTGGTTGGTTGCTATTTAACAACCTACTAGTTCCTCCCCGGTTTGCTGTCTACCAACCTACTAGAACCTGCCTTGGTGGTTGCCCTCTACCAACCAGCTAGTACGTTCCTGTGAGGTTTCTGTCTATGAACCTGCTAGTACTTCCCTGTGTGGTTGCCGTCTACCAACCTACTAGTACCTTCCTTGGTGGTTGCTGTCTACCAGCCTACTATTACCTCCCTGGATAGTTGCTCTCTACCAACCTACTAGTGCCTCCCTGGGTGGTTGCAGTCTACCAGCCTGCTAGTACCTCCATGGGTGGTTGGAGTCTAATAACCTAACAGTACCTCTCTGGGTGGCTGCTGTCTACCAGCCTACTAGTACCTCCTTGTGTGGTTGCTGTCTACCGGCCTACCAGTACCTCCCAGGGTGTTTGGAGTCGACCAACTTACTAGTACCTCCCTGGTTGGTCCCTGTCTACCAGCCTACAAGCACCTCCCTGTGAGGTTGCGGTCTACTAACCAACTAGTACCTCCCTTGGTGGTTAATGTCTACCGACCTACTAGTACCTCTCTGAGTGGTTGCTATCTACCAATCTACTAGTACCTCCATGGGTTTTTGTCTGCCAACCTACTAGTAACTGCGTGGGTGGTTGCTGTCTACCAACTTGCTAGTACGTCCCTGGTTGGTTTTCGGTGTTTACCAGTCTACTAGTACATCTCTGGGTGGTTGATGTCTACAACCGTACTAATACCTCACTGGGTGGTTGCTGCATACCAACCTACTAGTACCTTCCTGGGTGGTTGCTCTCTACCAACCTACTTTTACCTTTCTGGGTTGTTTCTGTCTACTAATCTGCTAGTACCTCCTTGAGTGGTTGCTGTCTACCAACCTACTAGTTCCTCTTTGAGTGGTAGCTGTGTCCCAACCTACTAGTACCTCCCTGTTTGGTTGCTGTCTTCCAATCTACTAGTTCCTCCAAGGGTAGTTGCTGTCTACCAACCTACTAGTATCTCCCTGGGTGGTTGATGTGCATCATCCTACTAGTACCTCCCAGGGTATTTGCTGTCTACAAGCCTACTAGTACCTCCCTGAGTGGCTTCTAACTACCAACCTACTACTACCTCCCTGGGTTGTTGTCTACCAACGAACTAGTACATAATTGTATGGTTGCTGTCTACCAACCTACTAGTACCTCACTAGGTATTTGCTGTCTCCCAATGTACTAGTACCTCCTTGGGTGGATGCTCTCTATTAGCCTAGTAGTACCTCCTAGGATGGCTGATGTCTACCAGATTGTTAGTACCTCCCTGGGTGGTTGCTGTCTACCAACCAACTAGTACCTCCCTGAATGGTTGCTCTCTACCACTCTACCAGTACGTGTTTGGGTAGTTGCTGTCTACCTACCTACTAGTACTACCTACCAACCTAGTATTAGCTCCCTGGGTTGTTGCTATCTACCAACCTACTAGTACCTTCCTCGGTAGTTCCTGTCTAACAACCTGCTAGTAACTCCCAGGGTGGTTGCTGCCTACCAACCATTCAAGTACCTTCATGGGTGGTTGCTGTCTACCAGCCTACTAGTACTCCCCTGGGTAGTTGCTGTCTACCAGCCTACTAGTACTCCCCTGGGTGGTTGCTGTCTACCAACCTGCTAATACCTCCCTGGGTGGTTACTGTCTACCAACCTTCCAGTACCTTCCAGGGTGGTTGCTGCCTATCAGACTACTAGTATCTCCCTGGGCCATTGCTTTCCACCAGCCTACTAGTACTTCCCTGGGTGGTTGCTCTCTTCCAACCTACTTATTACCTCCATGGGTGGTTGCTCTCTACTAATCTACTAATACCTCCTTGGGTGGTTGCTGTCTACCAACCTACTAGTACTTCTTTGAGTGGTAGCTGTGTACCAACCTACTAGCATCTCCCTGTTTAGTTGCTGTCTACCAATCTACTAGTACCTCCAAGGGTAGTTGCTGTCTACCAACCTTCTAGTATCTCCCTATGTGGTTGCTGTCTACCATCCTACTAGTACCTCCCAGGGTATTTGCTCTCTTCAAGCCTACTAATACCTCCATGAGTGGCTTCTAACTACCAACCTACTAGTACCTCCCTGGATTGTTGTTTATCAATCTGCTAGTACCTCCGTGTGTGGTTGCTGTCTACCATCCTACTAGTACCTCCCTGGGTGCTTGCTGTCTACCAACCTACTAGTATCTCCCTAGGTATTTGCTGTCTCATGTAGGTGACTTAAACTGAAGCACGAGTTGGAAGTGCAGTGTAGCATTGGGAGTGGGGGTCACAGGAGGTGGGGCCCACTAATTTAAGTCACCTTTAAGTTTCCACTGAAGACGCCTGACGAGCGGGCGATGCATCTTCGTAATAAATATAAGTTGTCGCACAAGTGTTTTACTCATCTACTACTTAATATAAGGATAACGAATAGTGTGTATCTCAGTGAATATATATCAAGAAGTGAATATACACCTCTCGGTGTATACACCTTTGTTTAAACACATCGGTGTATATTCACCGAGAGGAGATTCTCAGTGTGTATACAACGAGAGGTGTTTATCTCTCAATGTATATATATACAATGAGAAACATGTATCACTGTATATACAGCTCTACAGTGTAAATCCCAAAATTGCATGCAAATCGAAGAATAAAACAGTTCCTAACCCTAGAAATTCAAGAATAAATGTGCTGAGGTAGAATAAGAAGAGTTAATCTGTAAATATAACAATGTAAATGAAGAGAGGCATAAAAAAAAAAACTCCATACTCCGTAAATCCAGGTGCAAACATAATTTACAAACACGTCTCTCGACCCTACCATCTTTCAGGATGTGTTTCTCTCTAGCCGTCTCCTGCTGCCTCCTCCTGAAGATGCCAGAGCTGGTACCAGCATCCGGGGTGGAGTAGACGTTGACGTTGTGCCACGAGTATGTGATCTGATCTCCGGCACTCACAACCATCACAGAGGAGTCACTTCCGCTCTGTAAATACAAGTGGGAAAAATTCCTCTTATATAATGGAAAAATCGGAAAGAAAAAATCTCAAGATATTTAGCAGATAAATCGATTAAGTTGAAATCTGAAAGGTGAATCAGAATAATTCTGAGGATGTAATACGGGAAAATCAAATATTTGTCGTTATCTAGGGAAATACATTAGATTTATAATATTTTAATATGGGTAATTTACTAAATATATATTTTTTTTTTGTAATCAGGCGAAATTTCTTTGATATACGTAATTGTAATCCAGGGGTAAGGAATTTTGATTAATCTAGTATTCTGGAGGTATAGACCTTTGATATCTATCAGGAAGTCTGGTCTTAGACCAGACAGGAAGTCTGGTCTGAGACCGGACAGGAAGTCTGGTCTGAGACCGGGCAGAGGGGACCATGATAACCCGGATCATGATTAAATATATCTAGTACTTACGAGTTTCTGGGCGTTGAGCGTCCAAGATGTCATCGTTCTAGTAAGTTTATTCGTACCCCTGCCTTCTAGGTTCCTGGGATAGCAGGTACTAATCTATGTACTAGAGTCCCTTGATTTAACTGCTTGTTTAGTGCCCTTAACTCGACTGTTATTGAACCTTGCCGTGAAGGATGTCCACACAGAATTAGAGCTTCGTATTAATCAAATAATCTAGACACTCTAGGAGAAACAAGGATTGAGTGTGTTAGGCACCCACGTCTCTCTAGGAGGGATTAAACCAGACTGACTTGGTAGTCCCAGCGAGTGGTCATCACCTCCACTCTCCTTCCCCTCACCCATTCCCACCACGATTTTCCTCATCAAACCCCGTATTCCTCACTCCATACATACACTTTCTTACTCTAGACTACCCATTTGCTCTCACCAGTACTATCAATTTCCCACAACAGATTACCTATTTACTCCACACAATTCTTTTATCCTTTCTCATCATAGACCGCTCATTTCTTAAGAGGAAGACTTTTAATTCCATTTCTATCATTTAGACGTCTGCATTTACTTTCTTGATGGCTCTCTTAAACCCAGTTCTTGAATCCCATTTCCTCTCAAGAAGACTTCCTCATCCAGACCCCATTTCCAACAAAGAAGACTCCATTTTTCCATTTTCTCCGTACAGACTCCCATCCCCGTCCTACCAACATGGTTGACGCTCCAAGGGTCACTACCAAGCTACTCTCTTCATCATTAATTTCAAACAAAATTAATATTTTCCTCATTTTCTTTTCTTTCGTCAAATCCATTTTCTTCTTATTCTTATTCTACTTCTTCTTCTTCTTTTTCTCCTTCTTCTTCTTCTTCTTCTTCTTCTTCTTCTTCTTTTTCTTTTTTTTTTTTTTTTTCTTTCTTTTTTTCTTTTCTTTTTCTTTCTTTTTCTCTTTTTCTTCTTCTTCTTCTTCTTCTCTTTTTCTTCTTCTTTTTTCTTCCTTCCTCTCTTCTTCTTTTTCTTCTTCTTCTTCCTTCTTCTTCTTCTTCTTCTTCTTCTTCTTCCTTTTTCTCTCCTTCTTCTTCTTTTTCTTTTTCTTCTTCTTTTTTCCCTTCTTCTTCTTCTTCTTCTTCTTCTTCTTCTTCTTCTTTTCTTCTTCTTCTTTTTCTTCTCCTTCTTCTTCTTCTTTTCTCTTTTTCTTCTTCTTTCTTCTTCTTCTTTCTTCTTTTCTCTCCTTTCCTCCTCTCTTCTTCTTCTTCTTCTTTCTCTTCTTCTTCCTTCTTCTTCTTCTTCTTCTTCTTCTTCTCTTCTTTTCTTCTTCTTTTCTTTTCTTCTCCTTCTTCTTCTTCTTCTTTTTCTCCTCTTCTTCTTCTTCTTCTCTTCTTCTTCTTCTTCTTTTCTTCTCTTCTTCTTCTTCTTCTTCTTCTTCTTCTCTTTTTTTTCTTCTTCTTTTTCTCCTTCTCTCTTCTTCTTCTTCTTCTTCTTCTTCTTCTTCTTCTTCTTCTTCTTTCTTCTTCTTCTTCTTTTTCTCCTCCTTCTTCTCTCTTCTTCTTCTTCTTCTTCTTCTTCTTCTTCTTCTTCTTTTTCTCTCTTCTTCTTCTTCTTCTTCTTCTTTTTCTTCTTCTCTTCTTCTTTTCTTCTTCTTCTTCTTCTTTCTTCTTCTTTTCTTCTTCTTCTTCTTCTTCTTCTTCTCTCTTTTTCTTCTTCTTTTTCTTCTTTTTCTTCTTCTTTTTTTCTTCTTTTCTTCTTTTTCTTCTCTTCTTTTTCTTTTTCTTCTTTTTTCCTTCTTCTTTTTCTTCTTCTTCTTCTTCTTCTTCTTTTTCTTCTTCTTCTCTTCTTCTTCTTCTTCTTTTTTCTTCTTCTTTCTTCTTCTTCTCTTTTTCTTCTTCTTCTTCTCTTTTCTTCTCTTCTTCTTCTTCTTCTTCTCTTCTTTTCTTCTTCTTCTTCTTCTTCTTCTTCTTCTTCTTCTTTTCTTTTTCTTTTTCTTCTTCTTTTTTCTTCTTTTCTTTTTTCTTTTTCTTTTTCTTTTTCTTTTCTTTTTCTTTCTTTCTTTTCTTCTTCTTTTTTCTTCTTCTTTCTTCTTCTTTTTTCTTCTTTTTCTCTTCTTTTTCTTCTTCTTTTTCTTCTTCTTTTTCTTCTTCTTCTTCTTCTTCTCTTCTCTTCTTCTTCTTCTTCTTCTTCTTCTTCTTCTTCTTCTTCTTCTTCTTCTTCTTCTTCTTCTCCTTCTTCTTCTTCTTCTTCTTCTTCTTCTTCTTTGTTTTCTTCTTCTTATCGTGGAGGTGTGAGGTGAGGTACTCGGGTCACAGGACAATGACAGTGCATCAGCACTAGTGTCAGACATAGCTGTTGTGTCGTCGTTATGTCACGCCTCGTGGTGCTGCTGCTGCTCCAGTATATACATCAAGGGGTATATACATGCACTGAGTGTATATATTCTTAGAAAAACCCTACCCTATTGGTAGCTCTATGAGCAACCCTGCTAGTAGCCCAACTAAAAGCCCTACTGGCAGGCCTAGTAATACCTTCCTGGTTGTCCTACAAGTAGCTCTTTTAATAGTCCTGTTGGTAGTCCTACTGGCACCTCTCGTGGCAGTCCTGCTGCCACGACAGATAGCCCTGCTGGTAGCTATATTGGTAACCATGCTGGTAGCCCTACTGGTACCTCTCTTGGTAGCCCTGCTGGTAGATCGCGTGGTAGCCGTGTTGGCAGCCCTACTGGTAGATTTACTTGTAGCCCTATGGAAAGCTTTCTTGGTAGCCCTATCTGTTGCCTTGCTGGCAGGTCTACTTGTAGCCTTGTAGCTCTCCTGATAACGATTCACCTAGCTTTAGTGCTAGCCTTTACTGTAGTAGAGCTACAACAGCTCTATTAGTAGCCCTCCTGTAGCTCTACTGAAAATCCTTCTATTAGCCCTTCTGTAAATTCTGTTGGTAGCTTCATTGATAGTCCTCCTTGTAGCCATATTGCTGAGGCTACAATTGAATCTATTGTTGAACGTATTGTTGAATCTATTGTTGAACGTATTGTAAAACTTATTGTTGAACTTATTTTTAAACATATGGCTTCGGTTCACTGACATGTCTCCTGTCATATGGCACTAAGTTCCTCATCGTAAATCGACAAACAGCGATCAAATTAGACACAGTGTTTACACTGTCGATATTACCACCTTCCTTCTACTCCCGTGTAAATATTACCAGCTTCCATCTACTCCCGTGTCGATATTACCACCTTCCTTCTACTCCCGTGTCGATATTACCAGCTTCCATCTACTCCCGTGTAAATATTACCAGCTTCCATCTACTCCCGTGTCGATATTACCAGCTTCACTGCTCCCATGTCGATATTACCAGCTTCTTTCTACTCCCGTGTCGATATTACCAGCTTCCTTCTGCTCCCGTGTTGATATTACCAGCTTCCTTCTACTCCCGTGTTGATATTACCAGTTTCCTTCTACTCCCGTGCTGATATTACCAGCTTCCTTCTACTCCCATGTCGATATTACCAGCTTCCTTCTACTCCCATGTCGATATTACCAGCTTCCTTCTACTCCCATGTCGATATTACCAGCTTCCTTCTACTCCCGTGACGATATTACCAGCTTCCTTCTACTCCTGTATTGATATTACCAGCTTCCTTCTACTCCTGTGATGATATTACCAGCTTCCTTCTACTCCCTTGTCGATATTACCTTGTCGATATTGCTCCAGTGTCGATATTACCAGCTTCCTTCTACTTCCGTGTTGATATTACCAGTTTCGTTCGACTCCCGTGCTTATATTACCAGCTTTGTTCTACTCCCGTGTTGATATTACCAGCTTCCTTCTACTCCCGTGTTGATATTACCAGCTTCCTTCTACTCCCGTGTTGATATTACCAGCTTCCTTCTACTCCCATGTTGATATACCACTTCCTTCTATCCCGTGCTGATATTACCAGCTTCCTTCTACCCATGTGATATACCAGTTCCATCTACACTCCTGTTGTACTACCAGCTCACTACTCCCGTGTTGATATTACCAGCTTCACTACTCCCGTGTTGATATTACCAGCTTCACTACTCCCGTGTTAATATTACCAGCTTCACTACTCCCGTGTTGGTATTTCAGAAGCACCAAGGTCGTTGCATCATGTCGACATTTTCACTTACAAACTGCCTCTTTGGCATACTACTGCACTAATCTACTCTGTCGATCTACGTTTTGACTGATGCCATGTGTATTCTATGTTTCTAAGTATGAGTAAACACTGTTTAGCACAATCAAGTATGATATTCGCTGTCACAAATTTTAATTCTAAAAGGACTACTGGCTCGCTGTTGCTATCTGACCAATTTTAGCATGCAACAAACAAAATCGCCTGTTGTGTTTCCTTAGAACATACGTGTGCTATGTTTTGACCACCATTTAGAATGCCTACATTCTTACCCTGAAGTGTCCAGCCATTCATGGCTCTTGTGTCTTGACAACGATAGCTGCCACATGTCTTCCATGGTTGTCAGGGCTGGCTCTTGCTACATTTGCACTACCTCCCCATAACTGCAAACATTCTTCCTGGGGTACCTAGGCTCGGCTCTGTGTTCTTCACGACCATATCTAGCCAACATTCTTCCCTGGGTGTCCTAGCTCGGCTCTGTCATTGACCACCACCTAACTGCCAACATTTCTTCCTGGGTGTCCTAGCTCGGCTCTTGTTCTTGACCACCACCTAAACTTGCCAACATTCTTCCCTGGGTGTCCTAGCTCGGCTCTTGTTCTTGACCACCACCCTAACTGCCAACATTCTTCCCTGGGTGTCCTAGCTCGGCTCTTGTTCGTTGACCACCACCCTAACTGCCAACATTCTTCCCTGGGTGTCCTAGCTCGGCTCTTGTTCATTGACCACCACCCTAACTGCAACATTCTTCCCTGGGTGTCCTAGCTCGGCTCTTGTTCATTGACCACCACCCTAACTGCTAACAATCTTCCCAGGGTGTCCTAGCTCGGCTCTTGTTCATTGACCACCACCCTAACTGCTAACAATCTTCCCAGGGTGTCCTAGCTCGGTTCATGTTCGTTGACCACCACCCTAACTGCCAACATTCTTCCCTGGGTGTCCTAGCTCGGCTCTTGTTCATTGACCACCACCCTAACTGCTCAACAATCTTCCCGGGTGTCCTAGCTCGGCTCTTGTTCATTGACCACCACCCTAACTGCCAACATTCTTCCCTGGGTGTCCTAGCTCGGCTTTGTTTCATTGACCACCACCCTAACTGCAACATTCTTCCCTGGGTGTCCTAGCTCGG